TTGATAGACATTATTACTTGGTTTCGTAAAGTTGTTGGGAAAGGAAAAATGCGAAGGAAGGGTTTAAAGTAAAGTATATATATATATATATATTGAATATATATTCAATTTTAAGTATGTTATAAACATTCAATTGCTGCTAATATACGGTACTTTTATTAATTTATACTAATATCTGCAAAAATTCAGCTATTCAAGGAGGCTGAAATATAATCTCTAAGCTAAATTATCCTCGTAGTCAGAGATTTTAGTATGCAATAAATAATGAATAATTAAGTCAGGCGACAGATTTTCCGATCCGTTTACTGGAAGTATGGAGACATTATGGTTAATCCCATGTAAAGTTTAATTTCATTTAAATGTATTGTTCATCTATTAAGCAAGCTTTATTTAGCGTAATCTCATCGCCATTGATGATATATTGAGACTAATATTACTGAATATGTAAACTATTAGCTATTTTAGGTAAAGCTGGACGTAATAAATACGTTCCACGTAATTCTACTATCGCCGATTGAACACTTATTTCTACTTAGTGTTCAGTGTTTGGCGGTTAGTGTGCAAAAATGTTAAACAATCAATCTGTGTATTTACCAAGCACTGCGTTGTCGGACACGAAGGAAGGGTAAATAGAAACCTTAGGATACGTTAACTATTTTCAGCTTTTAAACGGCTCTTACGGTTACTATTTTACAGCGCCTTCAAAACAATTACGGTACATACAAGTTTTGAATTAATAAAATGCTGTGAAGGTTAGTGAAATTCTAGCCACTTCAAAAATCACCAAGGACTTCACAGTGTATATCATATCGTGTCAAATAATACAACCACAGTGCGAGTTACACCATGCCAGCAGTATTGTGTAATACATGATGTTTTTGTTTTATTTAGGCAGTTTGCAGAACATATTTCCCACGAGTATCACTTTAGTTTAACAGACTTTCACTAACTGACGTATATTATAATTACCAATTAAAAATATTAAGCAGCTGGTTTAACAAAACATCGAAAAAACTGTTTTAAAGATGATAATTACATATTTTTGCAGAATGAATATATTTTTGCAGAATATATATATATATATATATATATGTATATATATATATGTATGTATAACCTAGGCATGTCCTTTATTCGAAAACTGTCTTTACCTTTGTTTGATGATTTATATAAGTTAACAGTGTTAACGACTATCTTGATATTATGCAACTATTTGTTTCTAGCCGTACCTATTTTCAAAATGGAGTGTATCTGGTGTTATTTGAATCTGTTCAACCATGAATCCTCCCTGGTCTTATGATTATGACGCTCGTCTTGACAGCGAGAGGTCGCAGGTTGGAGTCCCCCTAGAAGCATTTTATTACACAATTTCTTTATTCATTTATTTACAGGACTACATTCATTGAGAGCTATGCTACACGATGTATTATTATGTCCTTTATTCGAACACTGTGTTTACCTTTCTTTGATGATTTATATATAATTTAACAGCGTTAATGGCTATCTTGATTTATATTATATGCAACCATTTGTTTCTAGCCGTACGTATTGTGTAATGGACTGTATCTGGTGGTATTTGAATCTGTTCAACGAAGCCTCCGTGGTCTAATGGTTATGAAGCTCGCCTTGACAGCGGGCGGTAGGTCAACTCCCGCCAGAGGCATTTTATTGCACAATTTCTTATTCATTTATTTACAGGACTACATTCGTTGAGAGCTATGCTACACGA